GCTGCAAATTTGGCAACAAAATTTGTCTTGTTTAAATTCTTAGTACTGGTTCAATTTGCCAGTGTGATCGAACAATTCGCGTATCACTAGTTTAAGGAAACTAGTAATGCTTGACGCTGCTCAGCCTTTCGTTTCGTGAGGTTGGTTTGATCTGACAACAAGAGGCAAATGGTCTAACTTGTCATCACATTACCGGCTGATAGTTAGTTACCGCGTAGCTCCTCCACAACCAAATTTCTCCGCGTATTGCACCACCCCTTTGCTCCTAGTGTCATTTATAAACTGGTCACGGTTTCATCGTATTTTGGCACATGCATTGCCGGACGCATCTCTTAGTTTATCCGTTATTGCCACCTGGCGCTTATCACGAACGATGTTTCAGGCGTTAGTATTCCTTATATGCTGTCGCCTAAACATCATAATATTTCTGCACGCCGAGTGTGTCGCATTGCGCATGACTCCTCCAGAACTAGGTTTCACGGCGTATTGCATCTGTTGTTGGATTGAACAACAAACTGCTCATTGCACCTACAAAAGTTTACCCGTTAGTGCTTGTACATAGTATGAACAGCGAAGTCGGAACTGAGCGCTGCTTCTGTGATGATTCGTGGAGTTTGTCAAGTGCCGGAGTTATTGCGGAAGCTCTGTACCCAATAGTGCGTGTGGACGATTTTGTTTTTTTTTGAGTTACGCCCTACGCATTTTCGTTGTTTTGGGTTGAATGAGAAAGGTGACAAGAATCGCGTAGTACGTATGAATTTATGGAATGCTTGCGTCATTACATATGTTGATGACTAGTAGTTGGTGGCCTCGGCTGTACTGTGGGCATTGGTTAATTTCCCGGTCATTGCCGTTTCTCTGCCAGTAGTCACCGAAACGTTCTGTTTTTCAGGTGAACGACATCGATGTCAGAAACGCTTCTCATGAAGACGCTGCATCGGCCTTGAAGAATTCCGGCCCAAGAGTCACGATTCTTTGCCAGTACCGGCCCGAAGGTAGGCATATCGAAAGCACGCCTCGTCTGTACTTGATTATATGCCGTGTCGTGTAAACGACGACCGCTTTTATCTAGAATACTATCGTTTCGAAGCTCGCATCGAGGAGTACCGAAATGCGATGATTGAACAGCAATCACCGGGAGTTCCGCAGCCCAGACGGGAGCTGTACGTCAGGTGAGATCGTTGCGTAGAATCGACACCGGACTACCAGTCAGTCGTGTTGTCTGACTTCGTCTTCTTCAAGTAACTCAGCGGTTTGTTTTTAACACGCATTTCATTACAGAGCCTTGTTTGACTATGATCCGACGAAGGACAGTGGCTTGCCGAGTCGAGGCCTGGCTTTCAACTACGGCGACATCTTGCATGTGACCAACGCTTCCGACGATGAGTGGTGGCAGGCGCGTAAATGTATTAACGACAACATCGAAGAGGGCTACGGCATCGTGCCCAGCAAAAAACGGTATGCTTTGTCGTGTTACGCTTGGATCGGTTTACGCTGTAATTCAGAGTCGAACGGAAGGAGAAATCCCGACGGAAGCAGGTCAACTTCGGAAGCGGTCGGCAGGCTAGTATTTCTGAAAAGGTTCGTCTTTAGAGATTTCTTTCGCTGAAACGGTGCGTTCGTAAGCTTGGACGTTCATCCATTCCATGGACATACACTAAAATTGGAACGATACTCGGCGTGCGTTCGTGAACTCGCGGCATAAATGCTCTTCTGGCGTACTTCTAGACTAGAAGTACAAGTCGCGTAACACGGCTGCGCCGCAGCGTTCGGACTGCGGCAAACAGCGCAGTAGTTGACGAGTCCGGATGCTGAACAGTTTAACGTTTGATGCTGCTATTTGCACCGGGCTTTGTGAGAATTAGGAAAACCACTTCACAAATCTTGAAAACAGCACCAACAGTTTAGAAACGACGTAAATTACATCGTTTTGTTTTTTGGACAGGTAACCCCTCATCTTCTTTCATGTTTTTCATTGGCTGCTGCAAAACTCAGTATTAAGCGAAACGAAAGTTCTCAGTTCTTCCATTAATTTAAAGTTTCCAGAATGCCAAAATCCTTTGCGAACGGTTAATGTAAAGAAGAATATTTCGTTCATGCTACTTCACTGTGGCTATGAAATTAGTTATTTCGATATTCGATTGTTTGTAAGTGGTTCATTTAACATTGAACCTGCTCTAGAAATTCCAGTGACCGGTTACTACGCAGTTGTCGTCACAGTTGATTCAGAAACCTCATCGTTGTCATTTAACATCGCTGATCACTTCCAGTCCGACCACACGAAAGTCTATGCTACAGAATTTATTCAGTCTATATTCTCCCCTTGCTGCTTTTCAGGCGAGTCTTCGTGCGGTTGCTCACCGTGCTCTCTCCATCGTCGAAGTATGTCCTCATCCTTGATAACAGAGCGTTCGGAGTTGCTCTTCAGGAGTTTTAGATTGCCTTTCTTTCTATCTCCGAGGCGGAAGATACTCTGCCAGAACACCTTGTTTGCCATCTGGAAATTCGACTCCAGCGCCTCACCGAACCTCTCCCAGGAATCAGCTTCGGCTTTCGCCACTGCTTTCGCTGCCGCTTTGCGTGCCTCGACATATCGCACGCTAGTAGAAGGCTCTTTGTTTCCAAGCCATTTCTTGAACGCTGCTTTCTTCTCTAACTGCCGGTTGTGCCTCTCGTGTCCACCATGAGATCCTTTTTGACCTCTACCCGGCAGGCCAACTCGTTTAAATCCGCAGCATTCGGCGGCAGCCTCAAATATGCCACTCTTAAATAGCTGCCACTCGATTTCCACATCAGTGGTCATCACTGGGATCTGTTCAAACCATCGTGCGATGTTGTTTTCTAATTTCGCTCTCTTGTCCACCGAAGATAATGTTTCCCATTTGATTCCTTGGCTGTTTCTG